CCTGAATGCTCATTGTCAGCTCAAAGCTACAGAAATAAGAAATTAATTTAGGCTTTTCTTGTAAATTCGATAACTTTGCAAAGAAAGGTCGTGTGGAGCTGGGAGATGTCTCATTTTAATCAGAAATGTGCGGGCTACAATTATCCTTATTAAGAACGGTTTTGGTTATTTTTTAGAGTTTCTGAAAGACTGGTTTTCCAGAAAAACTCTTGGTCTCTTGAGGCCTATTAGCCCGTCTCATACTGATTTTCGGAATCAGCATGGTCGACTACCTGTAGTCCACTAGGTTTCGGCTCGAAAACGATTGGACAGTTGGGAACGTTTCCCCACAGAACTTGTCCACCTCTGGTTTAAACCGTAAGAGGTAAAAAAAGTAGTAGATGAAGTTCGAATAGTTGATATTCTTCCCTTCACAAAATCCACATGTTACTTTCCGAAAGACGCCTTGTCCGGATTCCTTTAAATGTTTTCTAATCGACATTTCAAGGACTCGAGAGATGATGAATCAGCGACTAGGAAGCTAGTGAAAGTATTAGTTTGTCGCTCTAGCAAATATAATAGTCTGATATTTGACACAGATACCAAAACTTCTCCCCAAAAAATCCGAATTTATATTCTGACGAATTATTTCAGTATAAGGTCTCAAGAAACTGCCTGGTATGAAATTTCCGTTACCCTTCAAGAATGTGTGTAGAATCTGGTCAAAAATGATTTTGTTCATCTTGAAAAACTATCTTTATGGTATGATCTCATAACATTTGTTACTATGTCAAGCATTCAATGGTGATACAATTCTTTTAATATCATAAATAAATAGTATATTGATGCTATTTTCAACATCTCTGATTCGTTTTCAGCCGTTTCATCCTTATTATCAGTTTTATTGACAACAACAATACAAGTAACATCAATTTGTCGTATCTCAAATCTTGATTCATTCGTTCGTATCGGTGCCGTTGTTAAGCTTCTAATGAAAGTTTAGTTAACGAACTACAATTAGATGAAAAAGAATTACTTACACCGCTTAGGTTGATTTGAAATTATATAAGAGCGGGATGGAAAGCACACGGAATGTATCTAATGCATTTAAAACAGAGGATGGTCAACAAAAAAGTTAAAGAAAGAAGAGTACGCCGCCTTTCGGCTACCGTTACCCGTGTAGGGTGCTGCCGAACGGCAGTTTCAATAGCGCGATATCTTCCCTACAGTTGACAAGCTTCTGAAATGGTCAGCAATCTCATTACTAGTCATTAACCACAGTTCTGGTCAGAAGGCTAGTCTGACGTAGCGTTCTTTCGCCCAATTATCTGAGCTCCCCATACACACTTCACTAATCACGTACTTTTCGGAAAGCCATGAGGACTAGCCGGAAAAGCTGTACTGTACGTCACAACGTAATGATTATACTGTCAGACGGGTGATCCAAGGCACTAAGACATAAGTAACTTGCTCAAGGTTATTGCATGACTTTGCTAGAGCCAAGGTTCGAACACAATACCTTTGAAATACGTGAAGAACAACAGCACCATCAAGCGTTTTGTCAAATGTTTCAAAAATCACCAAATATTTTAGCGTTCAAATGTTTCAGTACGTAAAACAGAAGGATAAATTAGATATCTAAACTGCATGGAACAATTCTGGACATACTAAAGTATAATTTCAATTAAAAACGTATCAAATCTTCTATTATAAGATAAGACTTTTAATAACACAGTGGCTCACAAAATTGTTCATCCACCTTAGTTTTCGATTTTTCTCGTCGATCATAATAGTCAAAACAAATTTGAGAAATGATTTGAGTAGCCAAAAGAGCTTCTAATCTGGTGCGGTGCATGTAAAGATTCCATTAAAATTTTTTGAAAAAACTAAGTCTTCTAATTCGACTGAAAAGCTTCATTGCAAACAACTTCATCATATAGAGAAAATATTTCTGAATAAAATGAGACGTCTCGGAGCGCTCTACGCCAGTTTTTCATCAAACATCATTCAATTGATAAGAAGCTCCGAAAGTACATGCTTCAAGATGCATGTTTTGATGGTTTGAGGCGTTTTGGATTTGATCTTTTAAGGTTTTAAGTTTTCAAAGAATTTTAATGAAATCTGTACATGCACCGCGTCAGATTAAACACTCTTTCAGTTGTTCAAATCATTTCTCAAATTTGCTATAGCTAATAGCTAATATAGTCGATGATAAAAATCGAAAACTAAGGTGAATAAACAATTTTGTGAATATTGCATACCCGCTATATAATGAGGGACTTTTTATTTTGATTAGTTATAAATATGTGTCATATCTGAAAAATCATTGTTTCTTGAAATACAGTCGGTGATGTTCTTCTCGATGTTATATAACATATACGGATATTAGACTAATATTTATGTAACTATGGAATATAAATTTAGACTCTATTTATAAAATATTTGGTGCGTGAAGTTAATATCAATTTTCTGGAATACTATATGGCCTTAAACAAAAGAAATCCATATATATTAATAATTTTTTATTGATGTGTTGAATAGAAACCTTGAAAAAATAATAATAATAAAGACTTAACAATGAATAGAATGGGAGCTATAGAAGATGATCAATATCGTTTATCAAACGATTGATTTTAAATAAGAAATCAATAGACTATGCTAGTGATATTCATTTTTATATAGTCAGTAATGTGTACGATTCATCGATTTTTTTTGAATATTAAAGGATAATCATAATATATTTACAATTAAATAATAATATCCATTGAATACAATATAATTTACGCCAGAGTTCTCTCAGTAACTGGTAAGTAAAAATAACATATGCATGTGAGTAACGAGAATGATCGATCAGTGAGCGTGTAATAACATGTTCTATTAATTATTTAGTTTGAAATATTCTTTACTGTACTTTCTAACAGAACATTGTTGAAAATAGAGTGTAGATTTTCACAGTATGTTCAGCTCTTTTTCACTTTACGTTTTCACAGAAACGTCAATTATAGAGTGTTGAAGAAAGTTTATCATCACCCCATTAGTAGTTTGAAATCTGTTTTTCTTTTCACATGAAATTAATTATTGACATAATTGAATAAGTAATAACGCAATAGAACGATCGCTGTCTTCATAATATTTTGTCTACTGGTATAGATTTTGAATTATATGGAAAATCCAGTAGTGCGATTTTCAACTCTCCTAGACTTTATTAAACAATATACGGCGTAACGTACACATGTATCCAGGGTTGCCAGAAGTGGTGATTATTTATACGATTAATTTTAAATTTCAGACATATTTTATCTAAGTATGATAACTGACGTACCATTCATCAGCGATGTTAAATTGTTTTAACGATATAAATTAGTGAACAAATAGATACATGTTTATGTCGGACTCTAAATATCTTCATGGATTTTTTTTTTCTTATTTTTTCCCTTTTAAAGTGATAATGATGATAATCGAGTCTCTTTGAGAGAAAGAGAGTCATTCAGCCGTTGAATAACCATGTACTCTGAAAGCAGGTGTATAGAGGTAACAAATTGAAGGATACGCGACACATTAGCATATCGTGATGATGATTTGTCTATACGTTCTACCATAAAATAATCTTGAGTGTATATCTTTATAATACCATCGATTGGAAAAATTGAATTATTTTTTCTTTTGGACATATATTATTAGTAACTTGTACTTCAGAGAGACGAGAGATAATGGGATAAGTATATGTGTATGATATGTGTTAACAACTAATCACTCATACATCGTGGTATATATTTTTAAATAGAAGTCATATGATTATTACGGTCTTGCGTTTCTCTTTTAAATGTTATGTGCGGTAACCATTTCTTAAATATGGCAGACACTTTCAATATAATACGTACAAGTATACATGTTTAATATCAACTTTCAATTTTAACTTTTTGATATAATATAATCGTAAGCTCAAAGTTAACTTTATTTTTAAATGAAATATTATCAAATCTCTGATTTTCCTTAAACGCAGATCATTCTTCGTTTCATAAAAGACTTGCACTATTTTTATCTCGAAATGAAATCCATCAATTACTGATTATTATATTCTATTGAGCTTAGATCTAAGTATAGATAGTAACATGTCGGAAATTCAAAGTTCGAACAATATTTTATTTTTCCCCATTTATTTATACATAGCTGGATAGAGCGCATCGAACTAAGTAAGAAAAAGTTGTTTTTAATTATTTTTAACATTTTTTAATTAATTCGAATCTTTTTAACATTGAAGGTTTTTTAGAAATTTTAGATTTTTCAAATTTTTTCAATTTTTCTTTCTTAAAAAATTGAAAATCACTTTTTCTTACTCAGATCGATGTACTCTATCCAATCATGTATAAATAAATGGGGAAAAATAAAATCTTATTCGAACTTTGAATTTTTGGCACTTTATTAGAAAAGGTTAAAATGGTGAAAATACGATTGTTTTGTATGCAAGTCTCTCATCGAAGAGAAGATTCTCATGTAAATTATCTATTTTCTTCGTCTAAAAACTTGTGGGACTAACAGACATCTACTATTGCGGTATGCCCACTCAAACCTACATATAAAAAAAGATGGATTCTGTCTGATCAATTACTCTAGTATCAGCTGATAGTTATCAAGTAGTGGTTTATTTCTTATCAACCTTGTAAATTTCAATAGTGCGATTATTATTTATCTTTAACTGTCGTTCTATCAAGGTCAAGATACAATAATTTGTTTTTTTAGATCTATTAATTTAATTCTAAATGGGCAATAATATAATCAGATACCGTACAAATTCTAGAAGTCTTGAACAACAGAATAATAATACAGCAAAACACAGGAAACGCTCAATTAGACGTGCTATACGTTCAAGGTTACATCACCGGCCGAAGTCACAGTCACGTCCAGCCAGTTACGCTGGTCATGGAGAAACTAATAATAAGAAAACATATGATGATAATTTAACAAGACCACTATCAATGATCGAACGTTTACCAAAGCAATCAATAACGAAAACTGTAGAACAAAAAACTAAAGGTATTATCGAGGAGAATAGCAACTACTAGAACCTTCAGCTTATTCGATGATGAGATGTCATTTACGATGTATTTAAACTTTTTATATATAGTAGACTGCTTAAAATGCTTATTTATAATGTTTAGAGCTACAAGAAATTGAAGATACTTCTCCAAATCAAGTTAAACTGAGAAATAATGCATCTGATGCAGAAAATATTTCAACTATTAGTACACCACCGTCTGTGAAATATTATAATGAACCAAAATCTCCCGTACATTTTGAATTAAAAACTTATTCATCTTATGAGTCTGGAGAAAGTATAAATGATTTACAGAGTCCGTCAGTTTATTATGCAAAACGACACAATAGAAAACGAGATGGGCTGTATTTTGTTAGCAAGTAAGCTCAAATTTATAAAAAAGAATACGAATTAGACTAATGAGAACAACTTTTTTTATGTGCTGAAACTTTATTTTTTTGTGATTCTTTATAGTCGACTTATAGAAATTCTTTTCTCTTATGATCGATACACTAACGAATATTTTATATTGAATACTTTTTCAAATAAAAGTCTCTTCTTCTGGCCAAGCGTACTTTTTTGTATAATGATGGGAAATTTGTAACATTGCTGCTCTATGGGCAGTTTCAAATCAGTAAGATCAATCATCCATCATGTAGCCAGTTTTTTTCCTAGAGAAAATTTGCAAAATAACAATTGTTTATATAGTTCGTTCGTTTAGTCTTTCTTTGAAATATTGAACACTAATGCAATACTTTCTGTAAGGATAACAGCAGATTCAAACTTCATTTCTTATCCTTATAAAATTTTTTACTCAAAGTTTATCCCGTACAAAAGAAAAATTAACAATACTTTGTCTTCGTGCATGTTTCTTATAATTATTTATGTCTTCATAGATCATATCAATTAGACGAGGATGATGTTAAAAATGGTTTAGAATCAATTGGTGAACATTTTCTATCAGATCCATTGCATTTTATCTCACTATCATCACCCTTATCCCTACCAACAACAACAACAACAACAACAACATCATCATTGTTCGAATGGAAATCTTACACTCCCTTTACATTGGAAAAACTACATCAAAATTCTAAATTAAAAGAATATCTAATAAAACAATCAAATGATGAATATCAGTATATATTGGAAAAATTATTAAAAGAATCATGTAATAGTGATGATCAAATATTATTTAGTGATTGGTTTTTAGATGAAATTGAATTCAATTTACGTCAAATGGAAGAAACTAACCAAAAAGAATTACCACCAATTTTAACACGAACGATTGAAGATGATCAATTTGATTGTATGAACTATATATTGGATAAACATTTATTACCAAATAAATTTGATATTAATAAAACAAATGATCAAGGTCGTCATTGTTTATTAATGTTAACACATAAAAATGATGATGTTCAACATATAAAATATTTAATTGATACCTATCCCTATTTAGATAAAAATAAATATGATTTAAATCGATTTAGTTGTCTTCATCATTCATGTCGACATTTTAATTTAGATGTATCATTAATATTATTACCATATTTAAATAAAGAAATATTACAATTAGAAAATTCAGAATGTCATACACCACTTGATTATTGGTTTGAATGTTTATGTTCATTAAAAAAACGTAAAACATGTTCATCACCTACACCAAATAATTATTTAACATCATTATCTGATAATTCAAATAAAACTGATACTAATGAATATTTTAAACAATGTCTCTGTTTTTTACAAAATGGTTTTAATAAAGGTGGACAATTATCTAAAATGCCTGCAAGTTATTTACGATCATCATTAAAACCATTATCATTAATAAATCGATTACAACGTATTGAACATTATGTTACATTATGGTGTTTATTATATAAAAATCGTTTATCAACATTACTCATTGATTATGATCATATTCAAGTGAGTATTAAAGCGGGTGAAATATTAACAGAATTAGCATATGTTTTAATTGAAGTACACGATCATTTAGTTTATGATGAATATAGAAATTTTTATGAACATATGTTACAACGTTTTTATAGTAATCAACAAGAAACAGAAAATAATGATGATAATCAAAATAATCAACAAAATTCAATTGATACTACTGTGCATAAAAAACAATTTGAACAAGATAAAAATAATATGCAATTACTTTATTTTAAATTTTTTCGTCTATTTGAATGTATTTACAATAATCCAGATGTATCCGTTAATAAATTTCATTTTCAACATATTTTTCGTCGAGCATGGATACATTGGAAAACACGTGTTGAATTATTTACAAAATCAAATAGAGAAAAACAACAAACTTTAAAAATGTTTTGTCGTAAATCAATTTTTAAATGTATAAAACATTATCCTGGTGATATTAAATCTTTACCAATTAGTAATTCATTAAAACGATTTTTAGCTTATGATAATCAATTTTTTTTAATTGATTAAAATTAGTAAATTACTAATTTTATTCAATTTAAAGTCGATGAGATTTATGTATAAAGATGAATTTGAGTTATAAAATAATTTTTCATAATTTTGTACAATAAAGAATATTTTTAAAGGAAAAAAGATTCAATACTATGATTCATGCACATTCTACGAATTTTATGATACACTCAAATTTCTTCTAGATATAAATATCTCAAGATTTTTCTTTTCCTATGATCTCAAATAAGTATGTAACACAAAAAATCTAAAGACTTCTCTTATTATACATAGAATTAGATCAGTCGTATCAATTGTTGCTACTGACATGAATCGGATAAAATAACATGGGCATACATTTTTTTTTATCACTAAATTGTAGTCTGCACCCTTAATTCATAACTCAATCAATATATCATAGACAAAAATATGAATAAATCGTCATATTATATGAATTGTGGGACTAAGAAACTCAGTTATCTTTATCATATTTTTAATCCGTTAAAAATTTATTTAAAATATGTTCAACAATATAACCACAGCATGTACGCTCAATTCTAATTCATTATTTTTATTCAATTAGCGATGATTATAAGAGACAAGTAGACAAAAAGAATAACGAAAAAATTGAAAAGATTTAATAAAACCTGATTAATTTGAATATTAAAATTAATACGTGCCTAATTGAATAAATCAACAAATTTGATTACATCATCTAGTCAATTATTAGCATTACAATCAACTCAACAACCATCGACAAGATCTTCTACACATGCACATACATCTTCTCACAATTTATTCAACAATATCAAGTCGTATTAATGACTTACATGATAAAGAACAAACAACATTGAATAGTCAACAACATTTTAATATTGTTATTCAACAGAAAGACAATTTAATATAACAGAAAGACTCATTAATTGATTTATCAAAAAATGTTACACTATCTTAAATTGACTCCCAAAATAAGCAGCAAGTTTCGTCACAATAGTCAAATTTAAATGCAACAGCTGTACTATTTCGTTCAACTAATGCTTCAGCACCATTGTGATCATATATTCCGGTGAATGATCGTTTATTATCATCCGTTCGATCAACTACAACGACTAGGTTTACATTGAATAGTATATCGAATAATAATAGAAATAATAAACATGCTTGTTTTAATATTAATGTAAAAATTAGTTCACAGACAACCAAAATAACAACGGCATAAACAAAACAAAAAAAACATGTTATTCTTGGTACAACTTTATTATGTTATATTCCTAGTCAAGAGTTGAATAGAGAATCAAAATTTGAAGTCAGATTACAGTACATCACCACGTTATAGAATTAATTATATCACATATGAAAATAAATCGTGGTGATTTTGATTATTTATTTTTTGATTATTTATTTACACGACATTTTTTCTCGGTACACGTGATTTATATGATTGTAATACAACGTCAACCACATTAATGAAACGAACAAAAGGATTAGTTGATACTATACACCGTAAATTTTCAAATATCACACAAATTAACTTAGTTACAACACTATGTTTTTGGGCTACTACAATAAATCTACAAATAAAATTATTATACGATACAATGACTCGTTATAGAATGACTTTAACAGTAATAAATATATTGATACAACAGTCATTGCACGTAATCACAGCTGCCACCTTGTCCGAATTTTCTGGACAAACTCCGGTTTGTTGAGTTTTTGTCCGAATTTTGAGAATTTTCTGCTTTTGACTATTTTTCTGTAATTATGAAGATTTTTAAGCGTTTTTTTTATCTATAGGTTGTGGCGGTTGCCTTTCTCATATTATAGGCCAGCTAAAGTGCTAGTTACTCGGATCAAAAATATACATTCAAAAAACAGTGTGTCGATTAAAATCAAAATTTATATTTATGTTTGTTATTTTCTTGTATTTTATCTAGTAAAATCATACAAAGCTAGAGAAGAAACCTTTTTTGCCACTCTTCGCAGTAGAAAGACGTTAAATAAGGCAGTGAAAATGGGTTTCCGTTTTCTTTCCAGATTTTGAAAAAAGCTTTTTTTGGATTTTTTCGGATTTCTGACTTGTACAGGCAGCAACTCTGCACGTAATCCACAACCTGCTGCCATAGAGAGGTGTTCAGGATGGAAAAAAATGTCCACTTTTTTCGATCTCATATAGAAGAGCAAGCACTTCTGAGTAACACGGCGTTTGACGATTGAAAAAATAATGTATGGTGACTGAGCTATGATGTTTTCAAAACTAGCCCTGAGACCAAAATAGCGGTTTG